ATAAATATAGATGTCAATAATAAAAACCAACAATAACAATAGCACTGCCAATAATATTAATACTGATTTATTTTTTTATTTTTTATCAGAACTAACAATGAAACGAAGGCAAAATATAAGATAAAACATTTAACACCACAATTCAAGGAAAAGTTTTACCCCCGTAGTCCCTTCATTCAGATACTTTTGACAACAAAGACTTTCCAGATTTATAATGCAGAATGCAACGCGAGATAGAGAGAGGGAGAGACTGATAAGCAGAATAAACGAAAATAGAAAGACGGTGGGAAAGGACATAACATCAAAGAGTCTATTGTCCATAATGAGGTTGTGTTGAAAAGGCGATTTCTGGCGGGTGATAGCTCCATGGCGCCGCCTTTGAACGATAAGGCAAAGGAAAGAGAGAGAGAGAGAGAGAGAGAGAGAGAGAGAAGAGAGAGAGAGAGAGAGAGAGAGAGAGAGAGAGAGAGAGAGAGAGAGAGAGAGAGAGAGAGAGATACACACACACACACACACACACACACACACACACACACACACACACACACACACACACACACGCACTATATATATATATATATATATATATATATATATATATATATATACATATATATAAATATATATTTATATATATATATATATATAAAGTAAATGGTAGTATCCTAACTATATGATTTTTTTGTGAATGAGGATTGTTGATTACATGTATTAACTCTCTTGTAACTGTTTCATGAGATGTAAATGCATCTTCATTCCCATGATCTATCACACTTTGTCATATATATAGCCAAAAAATGGGTTTTCATGTTTACATTTTATATAGAAATTACTATTATAATTATCATCATGAATGGTATTTATCTAAACCTGAATTCCATATCATCATTCTTAAAAGACACCTCCTCGACAATAGATAATACTCTCTTTGACGCCCACGCTAAGACATTTAAATGGGTTACGCTCACTTCACATTAGAAAGACGAAAGGCCACAGCAACTCTCCCTGCGGTGTTGTCAGTCGATGGCGGGTTAATCCTCTTGGGGCTACCGTCCTTTCTTTTCTCGTTTTTTTCGTGTTTTATTCTAAGACTTCAAGACTAAATAATGCAAGATGTTTTATTTGTTAATTTAGGAAACATCTTGAAATAACGTCTAAATGTTTTGAAAAGCAATCATCTATTACTAAAAAGAAAATGGTTTGTAGGGAAGTTTTGTTTTGGACAAATCACTTTACACATTGACTCAAAAGAACCACAACTTAGACACGAGAATAATGAATTTTTTGTTTATCACTTCTTCAGTCAATACTTCTGATAATACACTATGATACAAGACAACTCTGTACATTCTTTCTAAGCCTTATGCATAAATTTCGCTCACTAATCCATAAGCAGAGACTCAAAACAGCAAAATGATCTTTAAAGGATTCTTACGCATTGCATTTTCTTTTCAACATGTGATTTTATTTTACAAACACCGACTGTATGATATTTTTGTGTATCCAATTCTAAATATTCCTTAATAAGCTATAGAAATAAGAAAAACATTCTGAAAATAAAGTCGCTTACACTTAAATAACAGGAAATATCTTGACGGTTAAACTGGTTTATTCTAGTTTTTAAAAAATCAAAATTTTCCAATTTTACACAATTGTTTCTGGTTATCATCATGATTACTATTGTGAATTGTTGTTATTGTCTTTATTATCATTTTGTCCTTGGTCCCTATACAGACTTAACTATGTAAAGTTATTAAAGAGATGATACAATTATTTGCAATGGAGGGCATAAAAATCGTTAACATATAAGGAGAAATAGAATAAGATGAATGAAATAAAACAATAAAATAAATAAGAGTAGATGGAAATAAATTGACAAACAAACAGATAGATAAAAAAGCTCGACAAACAGACAAACAGAAAAACTGACACACACATAAACACACACACAAATAGACCGATAAAACAAACTAAACGAACCAACCATCAAACGGAAAAAAAGAAAAACAAACAAACACCCATCTAGACAAAAAGACAGACAGACAGACAGACAGACACGCAGGCCGGAGCTCGAGCCTGAGATAAGGGAGGCAGATAAGGAGGCCGGAATCGTGGCGGAGGCGCGGCAGACATTCATCAAGATGGTCTGATACCGCAATCCTCACCACGTGACTCTCGACCTTACGTGCTGTGATGGATGGCTGTGGGACAGGAATCGGGAGGGAAGGGAGTGATAGAGGAGGGAGAGACAGGGCGAGAGATAGAGGGACAGAAGGAGAGGGAGAGAGAGAGATAGAGGGACGGAAGGAGAGGGAGAGACAGGGCGAGAGATAGAGGGACGGAAGGAGAGGGAGAGAGAGAGATAGAGGGACGGAAGGAGAGGGAGAGGCAGGGCGAGAGATAGAGGGACGGAAGGAGAGGGAGAGAGAGAGATAGAGGGACGGAAGGAGAGGGAGAGGCAGGGCGAGAGATAGAGGGACGGAAGGAGAGGGAGAGGGACAGGGACGGAAGGAGAGGGAGAGAGACAGAGAGAGAGAGAGAGAGAGAGAGAGAGAGAGAGAGAGA